ATCTGGTTTATTTGGTTCCTCTTGTATTGTTTATTTGGTTATTTAGTTACTCAATTATTAATTATGATAAACTATATCACTTGCTTAAATGCCGTTTAAATTTATCAGTAAATATGAAATGAGACGTTAGTATGCTTTAGTAGTTGTTTGGATGATGAGAATCTAAATAAACGAAAGCTTACTACGTATCTTGAGAAAGGGTGGACGAACAGGGTACATAAGGAACCCTACTGTAGACAGTACCTCAGTTGGACGGGGCTTAGAAATTCCATACTGGAAGAATTTTAGGAGATATGGTTTACCCTCATACAGCACAAAGTATTGAAGCGATGGTGTTTTTGGCACCCATTATCGGACGGGATGTGGGGATGATTGGGTTAATTGTCGAATCTTGATACTGGATCTACGAGTAGAGAGATATCCCTATGGACCCCCAGAAGTCCCAGTAAGTAGGTTAAAAAGGAATGATTGCTGATCCTATACATGAAATTGAAATGTCATTTGGCTATTTGTCTTTATATGTTGATTTTGAAAAAAAACCGTAACGGTAAGTATAGAATAAAAAATTTTAAAGTTAAATGTATTTACTTAAAATAAAAATTCTATTAGTTTTTTTTTTTTATTAATCTTCGATTTTCTGTATTAGTAATTACTGTGATATTCTTACTAGACTAGTGTAGATTACCATTTTATTAATTATTTCATATCAAGAAGATTAAGACCCAAATCTCGATCAATAAGAGAGTTGTGAGTAGTTCATCTCCCTAACTATCTTCAAGTGTTAGTGGAGGTTAACCCTTAAAATATCTATTTATTTATTTTTTGATTATTATTTGTCTTTTTATGAACCAATATAGAAGAGACATTCACATATCTTTATTGAGCATCCCAATTTACTGTGTAAGGAATATAAACTCTAACTTTATTGTTCACTTCCGCATTTAAAAATGTAAATTTATTTCCTTTAAGGTTTCGGGTCTTTACAAAATTGTTATGAAAAATCACGAATTTTATCCAATAATTTATATTTTATTGGTCGAAATGAATATCGAATAATTTTGTATGTGGACATGATTGAAATTTTAAATACATTTATGCTAGTCGTAATAATAACTCTCTTAATTTTAAAAAAGTGAAGATAGGATATCTTAGTGATGTTATAAAAAAAAGGGGATAATGAAAAGCAAATACTCCTTAAAATTTAGTTTGGATTGAATAAAACGAAAATATAAATCTCCTTAAAAGTGTAACAATACATATTATATTAAAAAACAAAAGTACTTTCTCATTTCAAAATAGTTAAAGTTAATGCCAGTACAATATATTATGATATACGAATTATCCATATTTTAAAAGGATACATATCTTATATTACCTAGATTAATAAATATCTTTATAGATAATGTATTGTTATTTTATAAATATAGAAGAAATCCATTGAGTTTTAAAAATATTTGACTAAATAAATATCATATTAAAACGTGAAATGAAGAAAATACATAATAGGTTTGCTTCACAAATATTATAGCTTGTAAAAAAGTACGTATTTGAAAATTTGCCGATGAATTTTGCACACTTGCAGTAATTGAATATTTATGCAGTTCAAATAAATGTAGTAGTTAACCAGAAGTTTACTAATTCAAATTTTTTTAAAGAGAACTTTCTGATTCGATAATGATACCTAAACTTTTTGATCTAATCCCCACCGTAAATCGATTATGTCAACACCCTTTTAAATTCGTTGAATATAACACATTAACTTTGTCCGAATTATCTTGTATTCTTCAATTTTTGATAACTTATGTTATTATTATTATTATTATAAAAAAAATAAAAACTATAATGAAGGAAAAAAAGCCCGAAATCCAATTTTTTTGTGCAATTTTCACACATTTAGAAAGCCATTTTCTCCCAACTCTAAATCAAACCTTAAATTAAATTAAATTAAGCCCAAAAAATAAAAAATTTAACCCAAATAAAAGCCCAAGCCGTGCACATTGCGTCTGCCCCCCCGCAACCAAAACGCCACCGTTTCCTTTTTCTTTTTTCTTTTTTTTTTTTGTTTTTAATTTTTATTCTGCTGAACAACAATTGACGGGAGGCAGCTCTGTACACGTAAAGAGGGGAGGCAACGTACGTAGAGGCTAGCGTGACGGTGGCTGGTGAGAACCAGATCCGTAAGTGGAGCAGAGGAGACCAAGAGCAGGGAGAAACAGAGCTTGCGGTGAAAGAGAACAATCGAGGACGATGCTTGACTGGTATGTGGCAGAAGCTCTTGGGCGACATAGAAACAAGGGAGAGATGGAACACATATATATTGGGCTCTAAAATATATTGTAGGTAAGAATTTGAACTCGGCTTAGAGTTAATTGAATATTTAGAATGGATAAAGTTTATGTATTTGATTCATGTGATTGATGGTTGAAGTATGATGAGTTCGCAAATTTGTCATGAGAATGAATGAATGACGAACGGAACCACAGTGTGTGTCATGCTTCTGTTACATGTGGATTGTAGGATAATAAATTGTCCAATTGAGTATTAAGTAGAAGATATACTTCGTTAAATTTTAAATGAGTTAGATCTTTTATACTATCTTTTGTCATTTTTTTAATGTTTATTCTACTTTGGTATGGGATAAAAATCAATGTTCGGGTTGAGTACGTATACAATTTGTTTGTTGAATTATCGGAGTTTGGTTCCCTTGGGTTATTTTGGGTTCTTTGCAGGTTATCTCTTTTCATTTAGTTTTCTTTTTGTATGTTGTTTATCACCTACCATTTCCTTTCCTTTTATGGCATTTTGGCACTTCGTGGAACTACTTGGCTGTTCTGGTTTAACTGTCTGAAATTAATTTAGATGCTTGCATTAAAGCTTTAGCCTCACTTTTATCTTCCCTGCATTGCCTTAAGACTGTACTATATTTGAAATTGCTGGGAGGTACAAATGGGTTAAACGTGTATTATCTACTGATGTTTGTGCTTCATTTTCCCTACGAAGAGTATACTTACTTTGGATGCCTATTTTGATGATTCATGAGATAAAAAACAGCATGTGTCTCAATTAGAGGGTTAATTGTGGTGTGTGCATGTACCAAGTCTTCTGATCATTAATGATATTTTAAAGGTTATTGTCTCTTTGACCATCTTTTCAGTTCACTAAAATTAAAATAGAATTTTTTTAACCAAAACTAATAAGTTTTTGCCGCCGGGTGGTGCCTCACACCTTTCGATCATTTTTGAACCCATTTTCTTCGGACTTGGCCAGTGTGTATTATGGTGTCTAATTCCACCTTAAATGGATTAATGGTGAATTCTTTGGAACTTATTGATTATATATTTGTGGAGTCTTTTGGATCTAATGTCACCCGGGTTGTAACATTGAGAATTCTCATTTTCCTGCAGAGTATTGTCCCGTATCACAGTTGTGACAAGTTCATAACTTTAATTTGCGACATCTGCTGCGGGTTTATATTCCAATAGGCTTTTGGAAATTTTGCTTTTAGTTGTTTGCTCAGAAACCGCCTGAGGAGAAATTTCTCTAAACCAAATTATTTATGGTATTAACCATTTGGTGGTTGAGCTTCCATTTATTTTTCATGCACACCTTTTTTTTTCTTCTTTCTGTTTTTTAATCCCATGAGGCTTTTTGCTTTTAGTTGTTTGCTCAGAAACTGCCTGAGGAGAAATTTCTCTAAACCAAATTATTTATGGTATTAACCATTTGGTGATTGTGCTTCCATTTATTTTCCGTGCACACCTTCTTTTTTTATTCTTTCTGTTTTTAATCCATGAGGTTTTTTGCTTTTAGTTGTTTGCTCAGAAACCACCTGAGGAGAAATTTCTCTAAACCAAATTATTTATGGTATTAACCATTTGGTGGTTGAGCTTCCATTTATTTTCCGTGCACACCTTCTTTTTTTTATTCTTTCTGTTTTTAATCCATAAGGTTTTTTGCTTTTAGTTGTTTGCTCAGAAACCACCTGAGGAGAAATTTCTCTAAACCAAATTATTTATGGTATTAACCATATGGTGGTTGAGCTTCCATTCATTTTCCATGCACACCTTTTTTTTCTTCTTTCTGTTTTTTAATCCATGAGGTTTCTTATTTTGTATAAAGTCGGCTCTTATTATTATTATTTTTCTAATAACGGTTTAGTTTCATGTCAAGAAATTTGTTGAAAAATGTTTTGAACTTGTGTTAATTTATTTCAGAACCATAACAAAATGTTCAATTTCAAGTTTATTTCCACGTAATTTCCATTTGAACTTTGAAAAGAAACTGAAAGTAGGAATTGAAGTCCATTGTTGCTTCTTGTTGTGATTGCAGAATCCCGGAAGGAAAATCTTATGGAAGAAGCAGGGTGGTGGTAAGTGGAAGTTGATAAATCTGATATAGCGGGGTCACATAGATGAAGGTTCTCAAAAAACCTTCTATCTCTCTTTGCCCCTCTGGAAAATCTCTGCCTCTCCATATACTCTTCTCATTGTTCTCCTCAAAACCAAACCCTGAACAACAATCGCACAACTTGATCGCTAAAATCAATGATTTGTTGTCTACTTCTCAATGGCAGAAGGACCCATCACTCCTTTGGTTGGCCCCCAAGCTCCAGCCGCACCATGTCTCTCAGATTATCAATACCCATAAGAACACTGA